ACTATAAAGAAAGCTGAGCACCGAAGGATTGATGCTTTTGAACTGTGGTGTTGGAGAAGACTGTTGAGAGTCCCTTGGACTGCAAGGAGATCCAACCTGCAAGGAGATCAGTGCTGGGTGTTCATTGGAAGGACTGATGTTGAAGCTGAAACTCCAACACTTTGGCCACCTGATGCGAAGAGCTGACTCATTTGAAAAGACCCTGATGCTAGGAAAGATTAAGGGCAGGAGGAGAAGGAGACGACAGAGGATGAGATGCTTGGATGACATCATTGACTCAATGGACATGGGTTTGGGTGGACTCTGGGAGTTGGTGATGGACAGGGAGGCCTGGCGTGCTGCGGTTCATGGAGTTGCAAAGAGTCGGACACGACTAAGCGACTGAACTGATCTAATCCTATGCTTTTTTGCTTTAATAACACTTAGTTGATACACCAATGACAACTAGACTGTACTAAAAAATAAATTTTACAGCACCAAAACATGAAGGAGTATTAAATGGATCTGAAGGGACACAAACAGGCAAATGCACTGAATGACTACTGAAATATTATAAAACAGCTATATCAAGTTTTTTTTTTTAATCTAGGAAAACCTTTATTTGATATGAAAATTCACTTATTTGGAACACATTAGGTAAGGTTTGTCGGAGAAGGCAATGGCACCCCACTCCAGTATTCTTGCCTGGAGAATCCCAGGGGCAGGAGAGCCTGGTGGGCTGCCGTCTATGGGGTCGCACAGAGTCGGACACGACTGAAGTGACTTATCAGCAGGTATGGTTTGTACTATCAATGAGCTAAAGAATGTGTTTAACATTCTTGGACATGAAAAAATCATAGTTTTTTAATTAAATTCTAACATAGTACATTTCTAGGCAATAGGAACTAAAACCCTTTAGGCTAAACCCTAGTCTTGACACAATGCAAACTTATCAAGAGGCGCCTTTATTATAAAACCAAGTGTTCTTTCATAACCACTGTTGCTTCTTTTCAAAATGTAGAAAAGCCTAAGAGAAGTAATTTTCAAAGAAAATTCTTCAGTCTGTACAAGGTTAAGGAAAATGTCTGTTTTAGCAGACAGAGGCTATACCAGACATCAGGATAAGCACGTTACAGCACACTTAACCATCCTCATTTTCTTAGGAGGCTGATGTCATTACACCTCTTAGTACACCTAGAGGAGCAAAGTTACACCAGCTAGTAGGGAGTAGGTCAGGACTAAAACCCAGGCAGTTAGAACCTAGAGCCCACAGTTTACATTTTAGTGGGTGAATTTGGAGGAGGATGCTGTTTTTAGATAAAACTGAATTTCTTTTGGTAAATGACTCAACTAGCTTAAAATCATAAGCAGTAAGCCACCAAATTATCCTTTGTTTAGAACATGCACACTGGTAGGTGGGGAAGAGAATGACTAAGATTCTAGCAGTGCAGTCAGTCTATCAATTTCCCTAACATTCTATCTGTTCCTTTCTTGTGTAACCTACATAAATGACTATAGTACTAGTTGGTAAGACATACACTCACTTTCACCCTGTGTGTTCTGATCTTACTCTAGATCTAATGCACCCATCACGGGCTGGCCCCCAGAATGTTTAAGTTTTGTTCAGTGTTTTGTTTTTTTCAGTTGGGTTACTTACCAATTCTTCTACTCAAGAATCTGAATGAAATAAAATTCCACCATTAGTAGAATCATTTGCAGATGTTCCTGGATATAAAGAGCTCTTGAGCTGCAGGGAAGGTGGGCACAACTAAGATTTTTGGTGAGCCAAAACATTTATAGCCATTAGCTTAAGTTTAAAGTTTGTAGTATTGTGGGCCTAGGCACACATATGATTTAAAAAAAAAAAATTAGAGCAGAAGAAAAAAATTCCCCAACAATCATTAACATATTAAACTAGTCCATGATTCAACAGGATAAATTCACATATTTAACTAGTCCATGATTCAACAGAATAAATTCATATTTAATATAAAATAACAAAGAATATCACCTCCCCTTAACTCTACTGGGCTTCCCTGGTGGCTCAGCTGGTAAAGAATCCACATGCAATGCAGGAGACCTGGGTTCGATCCCTGGGTTGGGAAGATCCCCTGGAGAAAGGAAAGGCCACCCACTCCAGCATTCTGGCCTACAGAATTCCATGGACCATACAGAGTCCATGGGGTCGCAAAGAGTTGGACACAACTGAATGACTTTCACTTCACTTCACTTCAATCTATATAGTCCCCTGAAACAAAACACGAAGACTCCAGGAGTAGGGGCATCAGTAAAAGTAGGATATTGATTACAATATAGATGATTTAAGAACAAGAGTTAGACCTCATAAATCAAATCTCAAATGAACCAAGAACTACAACTCTAGACCTATAGGCCAAGAATATAAAGACCACTAAGAAGAAATACAGTTAACAAATATCAAAATATCAACCCTATTACCAGCAGACACACAATTTATCTTAGGCATAAATTGGCAAAACATGAGGTTATAATGAAATGCAAAACCCTTCATTTTACTACCGTAAGTTTCCACTGAAACTTCTCCGGAAAGCAATGAAAACAGTATCATGACCTTAAAAAAAAAAAAAAACTCCAAAGAATATAACCAGAAAATGTATTAGAAATGTTCACAGGCTATTTAAAATTAGCCAGAAAAATTACATGGACAAACTGGACAAAGCAAATATCCAATGCTGGGGACCTGGCTAAAATTACAGTCAATCTTCACAAAAGTTACCCAAAATGATGTATTTCCAAGATTATTATAAGTGAGGAAATGCTTAGATGATCACATGATGTGTGTGAGGGTGAGAGAGTTACATAGTTACATGATCCCAAATTATATAATTTCAAAATAAATGTGTGTAAACACATGTAAATACACATAAAGAACTAGGAAAATGAAAATGTTTGTAATCATCTCTGAATGGATAAAATTACAGACTCTTGTACCAAAGTCTACATATTAAACATATACTGCTTTTACAATAAAAACATTTTAAAATATTTTAAATATAAAATGATATACTGCCACAAAAATATATTAAATGAGGAGGAAAAGTCATTTTTCTAGCATTCATGCCAACAGGAATAGACCTGGATGGATACACACTGGTGGTTGATCTGCTCCCTTTCACAACATAAACGGCTATGCAAGCACACATTACAATCAGTTCAAAAAATAATGCTATATGTAGGAAAGAAACTACACAAACTTCTTTCCTGAAAATGGTTAACAGAAGTAAACTGTTACACCCAGAATTGGTGGTAGGGTAAGGGATGGGGGGAGGGGGAGCCCAAATTTTGTAGATTGACTTTCTACCTTTAGGGTACCCATAAAACCCACACTAAATAAAATGATCTCTAGCCAATCAGAGGGCAATTTCAGAATCTTTTTAGGTGCTTCAGGGTAACTAGCAACAGTTAACTAGATGGTGCCAGTTATAGGTATAATAGCAGCATCTAACATTTGTTGGGTGCTTATTAAGTGCAGAGCACTGTCCTTGGTAACTTGTATCCATCCCATTTAACTAACCCTTGAAGGTAGCTACCATAATTAACCCCATTTTACACACTAGTAAAGGGGAGCCCAACATCACAAGCTGATTAGTGAGTAAAGGTAGCAGAGGCGTGTAGGTCCCTGAAGTCTGGCTGCAGAAGCCAGGCTCTAACCACTAGGCCGTAAGACACCAACTCATTTTTCTGCTGTTAAAGGGGTTTGGGGTTGGGAGTGGGGAGTGATCAGTATTTTAACTAACTGGCCTCCTAACAGAGTTATGAGAATCAAAATGAAAGCTAGAGAAAGGAAGAAAACTAGACTCTGTAGGCCGAACAGAGGCCATAACCCATTCTTTTGCTATATCTTCAAACTTAAGAGCTAAAGCAGACACGTAGAGTTTTTAATTTGCCAGATATTCTTTTAATGAGAATTATAAAAGACCAAAAACATTTTTTTGCAAACTGCCTTTTTTTTAAACAAATGATTTGCTTTTAATTACAAATACTGTGTGAGACGATGCCTTCTTTTGCAAAACCAATAAATACAAGAACAAATTTTAAACATATGTGATTTGTCCAAGATATGTGGGGGGAAGGGAGAGCCTGATTTTTTTCCCCAGTATTAAAAAAAAAAATCAGTACTCCCTAATCTTACAAAGAATAAGTTTTAAGGTATGACTCAACTGGAGAAGAGAGGGAGACCATTTTATAGCCGCTTTAAATAGCTTCTGATAACTCTTCTGATGTTATCTTTCCTTTCTGAAACTCATATCTTCACAAAACAGTTGAATTTAAAATATTTCTAATGAACTGATTAATGGGGGGAAAGAAAATATGTATTGAACACATGTATAAATTTTACCATCAACAATTATGCATATCAAAAAGACACTAACTTTAAAAGGTACAAAAAAAAGTGAGGAAAAACCTGAATTACAGAAAAGAAAGTCAAATTTATTTAATGAAAAACTAGAATTAATAAAAATTAGCAAATACACACACAAAAAAAAATATACACACACAGCAGCACTATGTATTGACTCACAGAGGGAAAAGCAGTGGTCCAAGACCACTCAGCATGGCTTGTCAGTTAAAGGAAAAAAAACCCAAACACACTCACACTCACACGCACGCGCACGCACAGGCACACAAAGAAACAAAACAAGAACCCAGTATTTCTCAACGGTACACTCGATCTACAACAAACACAAATTCAGAATTATTTTACAATGCTTCCTTTCTTAATACAAAAGATGCCCATCTTGGGTGTATATATATATATATATTTATTTTTCAGTGGTTTACTGTTGACTTATTTTTAAATATATTAGTGTTATTACATGCAACTGTTTCCTGTATTTAACAGCCTTTCCTTTTATTTACCTTCATGTGTCTAGCTTCCACCTACCACAAGTTTTTGGTTGGTAGGCAGACAGGTGCCTTATTCTCTGTGAAATTGAATGCAATGGTTTTAAACACTGGCCAGAAAATATTTGATTGCCATTTCAACACATGGAAATAGTTACATTGATGCCTAAATTGCCGTTTTCTGCAAAGAGCTGTGCAATGCTGGTGTCAAAGACTAGGCAGTCACTGTTCATAATGGCTGTTGCAATTCCCTCATGAATAGATCGAGGAGTGGCTTCCCAAGTCAATCGCCGCCTATGACCATTTAGCTCAAGTCGATAAGCAAAATTTTCAGCTTGCTTGCGTGTTCCTATCAGCTGTACAATTGCAAAGAATTGCTGGTGACCATCATATTTTTCCTGTTTCTCCAAGACTAACATGAAGTGAAAGCCAAAACAGGACTGCATCATCACCCAGTCAACAGCACCAGGAAGATTAATGTCTGTAGCAAGGAAAACTATGTCCTCTCCCTGCAGGGTTGTGATGGACTTGTGCTGATGCATCAGATGCGGCATGACGGCATCCAGAGAGCCTTGCCATTTACAGGAAGCACCAGGGCACGGACAGGAATAAGGCCTAAACTCACAGAGCTCTTCGTGATCTGCTTTTTCTGTGTGTGGCAGAGTTATTTCACATCCCGAAGAGGCGTATTTACAAGGGAAAAGTACTGAATTGGCCACTTTCTCCATAGCCAAGTTGCGAATGGATCCCAGCGGGCCCCGGCAAGTTGGACAACATGTGAGCTTTGGGCGACAGTTGCTACAAACAAGATGGCCACTCTGGCACTGAAGAATGGGTGGTAACACATAGTCGAAGCAGACGGGACACTCAAAGAGACTCGCCAGGTCATTGTTGGAGGCGGTTGTGCCCGTCAGGGCAGGCACCCTCTGGGACGGCGCGCACTTTGAGGTTCCAGTAGGTAATGCTGTTGCAGTCTGACGGCTCATTTCTGTAATAAAAGACACAAAAGTGTAAGGAGGCAGGATAAAAATAATTACAACTATAACATGTTTTATATAAATAACATTTGCCCAAAATACTTAAGTTTAGTGCAAAATTTACTGTAAGCAAAATAAAACAAACAGGGTTTAAAACAACATCGATTACACAAAATATGTGCACTGTGCATTGGATAAAATCTGTTTTCACAATGTTTCAGAGCATGTTCCCTTTTTCTAAAAAATGTTAAAAAATCATCCTTGGATGGACTACATGGAATAAATGCTAAAATAGAAACTCGGATCCTAAACAACTAAGGAGCAATGTTAAGTTCAATGAAATCAGTTTTGACTGGAATTTCCCCTGCCTCTCTGTGTTCAACTGCTCTACTCATTCTATTTCTTCCTCATTCTTAAGTCAGCTGTTGACAGCCTCAGTGAGTTCTACATGATCCAAGGGATCACCAGGGTACTGACTTTTGATTACTCTTCCTAATGGTAAATATTATCTGCTCAAGAGATCTATTTGGGGATGCCATCCCATCATCCATCTCCATGAATGTTAACACCAGCTAGATCTTAATCTTGTTTCCTACCAATCTGTGACCCCCTTCAAAATTGAGGAAGTATATAGGTGAAATAGAGGGCCACCCTCTAAAAGATGTGAGTCTGGTATTTGGAAGCAAATCATTCTGTTCCACTTCCATTCTACAATATAAATCAGGTATAATTCGCAAAGAGGAAGGAGAGTCAGGAAAAGATAAAGAATAAAGATAAAAAGTATCAGAGAGACTCACACAACATTAGGGGTGAGGGACAGAGTCAACAGGTAAAGAATTCCTTATGCTCTACTATAGAGTTCACCAGTGTTGCTGAAGCATTCATCAGCACAGTATTAAACATTATTTAAGAAATAAATTCCATCTGGAAGAAATGATCAACAATGTTAACTAACTTGTCAAGCTGAATTAAAGATAAAACAAGCACCTTTTCCCAGGATATAGTGGGCCGCTTTCTTGGGGATGACAAAAAAATCAGTCCACTTATGTCTTAAGAGTATATACTTAATAACCACAAGCCATATTTCTACAAAATCAAAATTTAACAACTTCTAAATGTTAATGTCTCCTTAATTATAATTGTCATTCTGTTGGAAAGAATTTACTGTTGAAAAAAATAATGCTGATTATCAATGAGACCACATAAATGCAATCTGGGTTCTATTACTCATAGATAGCACATCCTAGGTGGCCTGGTGGTAAAGAATCCACTGGCCAAGGCAGAAGACACAGGTTCCATCCCTGGGTCGGAAAGATCCCCTGGAGGAGGGAATGGCAACTCACTCCAGTTTTCTTACCTGGGAAATTCCCATCGACCAAGGAGCCTGGTGGGCTACAGTCCACGGAGTGACAAAGAGTCAGACCCCATGTACTGATTGAGCACAAGCACATACTCATAGATTACTCAAGGACAGACACCTTAAATGGGGATTGAGAGTGAAACCTCTCCCCCAGGAAACCCCAAAATAGAGCAATTCCACTGTCACTAAAGGAATATTCTCAAGTTCAAGGGGAAAAAAAGGGATCACAAGAATTTTATCATAACATGGTTCATCACACGGATTTAAGACAACAGGAATCAACTCTCATCACTGAAGCCCTGTATAACCAAAGTGTTCAGCCCAACAAAAAACACTATAAAGGAACTCTCATGAAATCCAGTTTACCCCTGAGATTTTTTTCTACATATGATGATCCATGCATTTTATTTTAGCTCACTAGTAAAACAACGGCTTAGCATTGCCAAAGTGTCCCGTATATATGCTTATTTCATGGTCCATTTTATGTGGCTCATTTAAGAGAGCAACATAATAACTGAGAAGTGATTCCCTGGGCACAAAATCTAAGCCAATGCCTTTCAAATCACTAAACCAAAAACAGCTGGTCACTAAACTCAGTTTGTATTCAACATAACTAAGCAAGAATATTACTGTTTCATTTTTTGACCTAGCAAAAGTTATACATTTATCAATAGTCCAGATTCACATTACAATATACATTATTATTTTCCCAAATGTACAAAACACAACTTAAAATTCCTATTCAAAGTGTGAAAACAAGTAAAATATGGCTTCTATTTCTGGTGAATTTAAGTATTATAGGACAGTAGCTGCTAAAACTTCCCAAAGCTCGGAAGGTGGAACTCAGTCCATCTTCACACAGAAAAATAATCCAAACACACCACAGCAGCCGTGCGGTAGGAACCAAGGACTGAAGTGTCTGGACAGCTCTGCAGCAGTCATGACATAACCTGAAGTTTGGTTTAAACTGAGAAAAGCACGGCTGATCAAAAGAACATCACTGCCAGCTCAATTTTGTTGCAGCAATTTCCTGATCCGTTTCAGAGGCTCAAAACAACTTTCCCGTTTCACAGCTTAAGCAACACAGTCTCTTGATGGCAATACCTTTTCTCTTCCTTGTCCCAGATGCTGGTAAACAAGTGAGCAAGACGCCTCTCCAGGAGTACAGAAAAGGTAAGGGAGACTTCCCGGTCATGAGATGTCAAGAGAGCTCACAGCCTTTCCCCCAGAGGCAAAGACAACTTGCAAAAGAGGGCTCTCCTGGATACCTTCTGTTCCTAAACATGTCCTGGGTCTAGTTTTCAAAAGGAGGCACATGCCCTACTCCATACACTCCATTCACTCCTCAGAAGCACTGGCTACTGAAGAAGAGAACTGATGCCCACTCCTGTTCCAAGAGGAGTCGACAACACCTCCCCATGAGCTCAAATTCGCCTGCGTCTCCAAAAATGGGAGCCATTGCTGAGCTGTCCTCTGCTGGGCCCTAAACCTTCGTCTGTCTCGGAAGTCTGTCTTCCCCAAATTCATCGGCTAGGCTCCTGCCAGCTCGGTGAAGAACAGGGCTGAAGGGTGCGTAGAGGCGACTGGTCGACTACGTGCGCTCTCGGTGCCAGCTCGAGCTACTACTGCAGGATCCGGCCCGCAGCTGGAGAGTCTGCGCCAACGCAGTGCCAGGCGGCCGCAGGCTCTCTCTGCACTGGGCGGAGGCTGCGGCGGCTGGCGAGGGGCGGGGAGGCGTACGGGGGCGGGGCTTAAGGCTCCGCCCCACTCTGTCTGGGGCAGCTCCCAAGCTGCTCCTGGACAAGGAGCGCGCAACTCCCACCCAGGCACCCAGCCGAGTAAAACCCCGCGTAAAACCCCGCGATCCTCAATCCCCGGTGATACTGTGCACGCCTCAGCACTTCCATCAGCTTACTAGAAAGCTGAAACAGTCCATTTCTGTAGGCCCAAACAGTCGGATATCGGCAATTTTCCATGGTTTCAACCCAAAGTCTACACAGAATATATGGGAAATACGCGCCCAGACAAGCACACATCTCTGCACTATATACTCAGCCAGTTAACCCTGCGGACGCTAGATTTTTATAAAGTAAAAGCATTCTCCCTCTTTGTTCAGTAACTATTTAACGGGCGTTAACTACCTATTTCCTCAACTGTAACTCACTTCTCCATTTTTACCGCCGTCAGCACCTTAAACTCCTTCTCCCTTCAAGAAGATTTTGTAGTGAGAGTAGTAAGCACACATATCCATATTAAACTCCCGCTTTAACCTCCAAATTTAGATCTTATTCTCTTCCTACTCTAGGAAAACCATGTTAAACGGCCTCATTAAACAGAGTAGCTTGTTTTGTTTTTAAATAAGCATTACCCTTGCCCCAGTAAAGTCCACGGCCTCCAATCTGCATTGCGTCAGCTCAGGCTTTCAGAGGTTTAACCTGTCATTACATCATGCTTAGTGCAGCCTTTAAAGGCACCAAGACCTGGTGTGGGGCGTGAACCCTGTGCTGTAAATTGGCCATTTTCACCGTAAAGTTTTAACTCTAATCACTTCCCCACCCTATTAATAGTGTGTTCAATCACCTCAATGTCATTTTGGTATTAGGCTACAGAAAACATCATTAGGAATAGAAATATAATTGAAAAGTCTGTTCACTGAAAAATACAAATTACGATAATCTATGTTTTGATTTTCTAATACATATTCATTCTAGATAGGTCTCAGGTTTCTAGAGCAGGAGACTTCAAATGTTTTAGAACAGAAAAACTTCAGACAGATTTAGGACAGAGTCCAAATGTGTAAAAACAAGTAAAAGGGGTAACATATTTCTCAAGCAAAAAAATGTTTTCCCAAACTTCCAAAGAACCTATACAAAAAGAACCTATATACAAAGAACCTATACCCAGATCCTTACAACACCATCTAAAAATCATTAATCTGCAGACAAGCCTCTGAATAAGTGAGTCAGGACAATAAAAATGGAAGTGTTCTGGAGTCATCTACACTTGAATTCAAACTTCACCACCTGCTCAGCTGTAAAACTGGAACGATATTGCTAGCCTTGCATGGCTTTTGTCTGGATTAAGGAAGATGGGTAAGTTATATGTATCATAGATGGTACATATTCCAAAATATGTAAGTGCTGACTTACACAATTCCAAAAGTTAACTTGTCTGGCCTAAAGTCATTAGTTAGAGACCTAGAACTTGTGTTCCAGATGTATACTCTAAAAGATGCCTTTAGCTTTAGTAAGATTATCAAACATGTCTACCAAAGAGCAACTACCTTTAACTAATTTTTAGCACAATATAGTAGAATTTCTCAACTAGGTAGAACATTTAAACTGGTTTTATGAGATAAATTTTTACAAAAACTACATTACAATAAGACAAGTCCACAGAATCCAAAGTTAGCAAAATTCCAAAATTTATCAAGAGTCCACTATTACTTACCCTTTCTAAAATAAAGCTTACATCTCAGGCCCCATTTGGTATAAAGCTTAAATAGACTTTAATTTAAATAAAAACATTTTACAATCAGCCTTTAATGTTGCCTTAGTAATTTTAGAGCATTTAACCATTGCTATGCCACATTAACAAACTTACGACTAAAGTAAACAAACTTTTAGTCTCAATTTCATGTGGGAACCTTTTTTTCCTATTATAAATGACTAATGAACAATTTCTCTGATTAATCGTAACCTTGTGCCTGGGCATTTTAATGAATACCCAACAATGCTATGCTTTTCATTTTCTTGCAGTACAAATGTTATCATGACCTGCAAGTAATGACCCCCCTCAAAGATGCCCACCACAAAATTAAAACTATGGCATCTCCTTAAAAATTCAACAGCTTAAAATGCTAAGTTAAAAATCAAACTTCATTATAACACAATAATGCCAAGGGGGGGGGGGGTGGAAATCAAGCAATCTATTTTTAGTTTCCAGAACTGTGTCAAACTAATGGTAATTTTAAAAAATTGTACACAATATTTTCCTAAAAGCTATTTTCCTAAAGATAATTCAGAAAATGTTGTAGCCACAGAGTAATATTTATATATCCAATAAGAGTAACGATCTGAAGTGGGGGAAGTCCAGGACAAAAGACCTGATAGAAGATGTAAAAGCAGAAGTCTGAACAAAGATGATGACAGTAAATGGAGAGGAAAATGCAAACCATAACCTAAAGATATAAAGCAAAGTATATTTGTTTTTCATTCCCTAAATCATTGTATTTTGAGGCTTCCATACTTAGTAAAAAAACAAACAAAAAATACCTAACCAGAACCCATTAGGCACTAGGCTAAATACCAAGCTGTGGTAAGAGATGAAATGCAAAGTAGAAGTGAGAAGCCTGTGAGCTATCTAAGAGACGGAACTATTAAACTCTGCTGATGGGGATGCAAAATAGTTACCACCATATCCTCGTCACTGCAGAAAGTCCCAGCATGGACAGCATGATTCTATATCCTAATTTTACTTCACTATTTTCCTCATTATTTTTATTTCACAGTGAATCTAACCTCAAAAACGAAACTATAAACATCTCCCAAAACAAGACAGGTCAAACCTCAATGTTAACAGTCCGAAGCTCTTGCATAAATTGCACAAGCTCAGAATTTTAGTCATACCATTTACCCCTAAGAATTACATAAATCCTGCTGTCTTCTGATAAGTAACTACACAGATCAAAAATCTAACCTCACTTTTATTCTCATTCCTCTGCAGGTAACTTTTCTACCCTAACAGGTGGCTTCTAGGACTTTTGAAAGAAATTTTCATCAGAACATCTAGATATATGTCATCAGCACTAGCAAAACAGCAAGTGTTTTCAATCTCAAGACAAATCTTTTACCTTTGTGGACCTTTCCTCTTCTTTTTTAACTCTTACCATTACTCAGTTCTTTTCTTCACATAATTCTGATACTGACTCTCCTGAATCTATCAAAAGTCTTAATATATTTTTTCTCATCATTCCGATCCTTGCTTTGTACTGCATTCCAAGAGAACTCAAGTTTTAATTCATAAATTTGGTTTTGCTAAGGTTACCTATCTCCTGATATGCTAAAGTATTTAATTATATAGATACCCTCAACCTCCAACAAGGGAGCAGAGTAAGATGGAAGGAATGGCTGCTTCCCTTCCCTTTCCCTGAAGTTGGAATGGCCACATAAATTCAGATTGCACTGCTCTTGTACTTCCTTAACCTATTAAAGTTTCCATGTTTAATATTCATGTCCCTCATTGAAGCGTCACTCTTGGTTAGTGGTTTTTTTCCTCACTGCTATAACCTAAATGGTTCCAGGGTCAGCAAACTAAATAAATAAGGAGGCAGAGAAGGGGCTTTCTTTCATCCTCACTAAAACAGCTGCCCCAGATGTTCATTAATAAGCATACGTATGTACCAGGTATTGTCCTCAATGAGCTTTCAGGTTAAGCATTTATCCCCCATGTTATAGAAAAGAAAATGGATTTCAAAATAAATTTCAGATCACAGAACTAATTTTTAAAAAAAAGGGAGCTGAAGAGCTATGTGACTAAGGAAGACTTAGAAGGGGTGGTAAATGGCATCCTAGGCCAACAGACATTATGAAAAAATTTTAGACTTGGAAAAGATCTTAACCAACTCTCTCATTTTCAGAAGAGAAAAATGACACAGAAGAACTTGCTAAATGTCATATAAAGTAGGTCAATGTTCTAATCTGGGCAATGTTATAATTTCCTAGATCCTTGTAAAGCAGATATTCTTTGGACATTTTCTAATTCAACTTGAAAAATTAACCTTTTCTGAATTTAAGTTTAGTAAGATTCAACTATCTTTTGCTTTCCCTCCCAACACAAGAGGGATCCCCAATGCAGCCAGGAAAAGAGTAAAAAAAAACCAAGGGAGATGAGTAAGAGTCAGCATCTTAGAGGGGCCTTTCTGATCACTTTATCTAAAGGCCAGATCCCTCTTCTTACTTTCTTCATATTATCTCTTGCCATGTGAAATTCACTTGCTAAATAATTTCTTACTACTTATTGTCTGTCTTCTGTCCTTTTCCCTCTCCTCCTCAGTATCAGCTTTTCGCTGATAACAACAATTCTCAAACATTTTTGGTTTCAGGAACCCTTTCTACCAGTAACTGGCAAACTACAGCTGCAGGCCACTTGCCTGTTTCTGTAAGTAGTTTTACTGGAATATAGTTAAGCACATTC